TATGAAGATGAAAGTAAGTCGCATGGGTCATGAGTGCTTACCAGTGTACGTTCTATGCAAGAGCTTTTCTGTTGTTTGCTGTGGACATATCATGCCACACCACTACATAGTGGGAGCTGATGTCAAAGTCCAACTCAGATGTTTCTGGCAGAATCCAGTTATCATGGTTTGGGGGCCCTTGACTTGTAGTCCTATTGTGGCAACAAGGTCAGTGGTATAGGAGTTCTGCTTGAGCTATCCACATCCTTGCCGGGCCAGGATGATATTCAAGTATCTCCAACCCAGACCCTGCTTTGCATGCAAGTACATATGCAAGCGCAAGCCTCCTCTCATACGAAGGTGTTTTCTCCTTTTGATTGCCCTTTTAGAAGCAAAGGCCCTTCCGCTGCAGAGCCAAAGGACAATGCTTTTCAGTGCTTTTCAGTGCAGGCACCAGCACATGAAGATGAGAAATAAGAATGCGATCCAGATCCTAAATCAATACTGTGCCACCAGCTCTAGGTTAAGAAACACATTCAGCTGAAACTGGACTGTGGTCAGTGGCTAACGTTGAGAATCCGCAGGAAGCACAGCCAGAGCTTCCTTGGCCTGATGACAGCGGTAGCATCTTGGATTCGACTTGAGTGTTTGGCATCCCGTATTTGAGCCCACGGCATGGCTTATGAAGATGAAAGTAAGTCGCATGGGTCATGAGTGCTTACCAGTGTGCGTTCTATGCAAGAGCTTTTCTGTTGTTTGCTGTGGACATGTCATGCCACACGACTACATAGTGGGAGCTGATGTCAAAGTCCAACTCAGATGTTTCTGGCAGAATCCAGTTGTCATGGTTTGGGGGGCCTTGGCTTGTAGTCCTATTGCGGCAACAAGGCCGGTGGTATAGGAGTTTTGCATGAGCTGTACACGTCCTCGCCAACCAGGATGATACTCAAGGAATTATCTCCAACCCAGACCCTGCTTTGCATGCACGTACATAGGCAAGCACCAAGATTGTTTGCCCTGAGTTTTGCTTGCAAGCCTTTCGAATGCGTTTTCTCCTTTTGATTGCTTTTTCGGAAGCAAAGGCCCTTCCGCTGCAGAGCCAAAGGACGATGCTTTTCAGTGCGTTTCAGTGCAGGCACCCGTGCCTGAAGATGTAAATGGAGATGGTGAGACACCCAGACTAAGAACTTCAGAAACACATTCTGCCCAATTGAACTTGGTATATAACAGGTGGAAGATTGTTGAATCTTTATATGTGTGTTGTTGGCATTGCTTTATTGAGTTGCAATAGTTTTCTCTTCTCTGGAGTCCGCAGGAAGCACGGCCAGCGCTTCCTTGGCCTGATGACAGCGGTAGCATCTTGGATTCAATGTGAGTGCCTGGCAAACCTCGCTTAAACCCATAGCATGACTTGTGAAGGTGAGAATGAGTCGCATGGGTCATGACCCACTGCATGCTTGCGATGTTTATTTGAATCAGGGTTGCGAGTGCGATCAGTGTTTGTGATCAGATGTGATCAACACACCCAACCGACGTTTGTTGCTGTTCGTTAGCGCCGCTGTTGACATGCCGTACTGCAGCTGGGAAGTTAGTGGCGCGCGTGACTGCGTGCTGGGAACAATGGTCTTCTACGGTTCTAGCAGTCCATTGTCCACTTTCTTGATTTTTGCGCATCAAAGGTTTTCTCAGTGTGTTCGCTTTTTCCGGAGTTCAGGCCCATTGACTGCAGCGAGAGAACCACAGGACAGATGTCAAGCATTTGAAGCCTCAAACCGCTTGCTTGCACATCCACCTAAAAAATACTAAACTTCTATGTTTGCCTCAGGGATACTCAGACAAAGACATACAACAGCCAAGTCTCCAAGTGACATGCTACATTCTTGCAGGAGCTTCAGCCAGAGGTTCCATGGCCTGATGACAGTACCTTGGATGAGTCGGCAGTACCACCGCCGTGCTGAAGACGAATGTGCTGATGTTTGCTTCCCATGTTCGGGCGATCGAAGCCATCCTCCATGTCTATCCTCATCCCTCATCCTCCTCCTCCAAACCAAACCAAACCACTTCAAGTTTAGATCCACTTCTTTTGCGCAGCACACTTCTGTGGATGCTCCCATAACGGACGCCAGAACAATGATTGGGAGCCCCAGCGCCCCCGCCTCCCAAGACCCATCGGGTGCAACGCAAAGCCTTTGAAAGCCAATGTTTTAATCCAATGGCTTGCCATTGTTTTCCTAAAAATTACACTTCTGTGTGTTATTGGTGCATTATATGTGTACAGTCTATATGATTCTATATATATGTATCTTGTATATAGGATATATGTTACATGTGTACTTTCCGCAAGTGCTGGAAGAGCCTGCTTTAAGCCTGCCACTCCACCTAGAGTGGTGCCTGCCAATTACTATCTAGCTATTGTCTACCCTGCTGAAACTCGATGGGTGTTCTTGTTTTTATCTTGTCGTTTATAAATAAATCTGGAACTGGGCGTAACTCTTGAGGCAAGACAGGGATCCTCCTTTCTGCAAGTGAATCTTTGTGTGGCCCTGTCCAGAGCATGCCTCCATTCATGGCAAAACGGTAGGTTGAAAAATCATAAAACATCGTATGCTTGAACGAACTACTGAATTATACCGAATATGTATATTTATTTATATATATATGTGTTATAACATACTGAATTTATTTATATATATATTGAATGAATTATACAGAGGCTCAGGCTGCAGGCTCGGGTTTTCGCCGGAGGTCGACCATCAGAGGTTGAGACAGGTCACGTGACCGGGGAAATGACGAAACGATGTGACCGAAGAACCGGGTGATGAGACTAGTAACAAGAAGCTATTAGAAACAAGTGCCTTACTAGTAGTAACAAGTGCCTTACTAGTAGTAACAAACAAGTGACTTACTAGTAGTAACAAGTGCCTTACTAGTAGTAACAAGAAGCTATT